AGTTTGTATGTCCAGCAGCAATCACATGCATTTTCTCTATATTCACCTTACTGATGGGTAAACAGACCCACATGGTGAATGATGGTGTCACTTAGTGAACAAATGTCTTCTCACTTTATTTTTTAATGTAACATTTACAGCTTCATTATTGTGTTAAAATTAATTAGTCAGTAACGCATTAAAGTTCGTCACCACTTAATCCAGTAAAATATTTGATCATGAGAGGAAGAACGACCCTTTAGGCATTTTGACTTTCACGCAAGATTACTGTCACTGAAGCAGTGTTAAAGTTAATTTTACACGTCGTGTTGTTGTAAAAGCCGCATGCCAGGCATGCTTTGGTTCAGCCAACAGAACAGAATCTGCTTGAAATGTTGCTTTTCTAGGTGTTGCTCAGTCAGTTTCCTCGAGTTAAACAAACGTCATCTTGTCACTGATTGTCAGTCTGTATGCAGCATCACCAGCTACCACCAGCAGTCTGCATGATCGTTACACCAGGAGGAAGCTCAGTCAGGTCACGGAGGACCTCTAGTGATGGGCCATCATTTTTGTATCTTGGTCATAGTTTAACATGCATTAAACTAGAACTAGCTGATATCAACAAGTCCGTTCTACTTTATCTGTTGCATTTAAACCAAGCCACGTCTCAAACATTTTATTCAAAACACAAGAAATTGTTACAATTTACTAAGAAAAGGAGGATAATAAGTCTACTGTAATAGTCTGGTTCTTGTTTATGTTAAACAGCTGATAAGTGTTTTTATATAAAACTGTAAAAAAAATCAACTATAATAAATGCACCTGCATACATGTTCTGTTTTTTATGTGACAGCTCAGTTTGTGCTTAACGTTTGTCAACAATCTACGACACAAATTGTTGTATTTTGCTTCTATTTATGTGTCTTAACTTTCATCTGTATAATTTTTGTTTAAAAGCAGAAATCATATTCAGATAATCTTAAAATAACCAAATAATTCTTTATATTTATTTGAACATAAAAATGTCTAAGGATGCAGGTGCACACTTTCAGCTTTTTACTGCCCCCTGGTGGTCAAGACTGGCTATTACACAAACTGGAGGATCACATTTTTCTAAGATCACACTTTCTTTCTTTACTATGCAAATACAATAAAAATGACAAACTTTTATTTTCATAAATTTATTAGTTAAAATTTTCAGATTTGTCTTTCAATAAACTTCTATTTTTCCAAATAAAAATAACTGATTAATGCCACACAAAGATTTTATTTTGTCACAAAGTAAGGTATAATATGGAATTGAGCAATGAACTTAAAAATATATTTAAAAAAAAAATAGAAAATGAGAAAACCAAACTTTATTACTGCATGCTCATCTTCCTAGCTTAAGATTTTCTGTTTGAGAAAAAAAGAGTGGAGTGAATTTAAAGAGGGGGAGATAAACACTGGAAAGGAGGAGAAAAATTATGGACAATTAAAATCAAATTATGAGGCCACACCAGCAACATTAGCTACCAAAACTGATAATAAATCATCTCTGTGCGCCTTGACAGTGGTAGTACTAACATCTATAATTGGTACAAATTGGAAACCAGCGGGGCATTTCAACTTCAGTCTGAGTGTGTGGAAGTGTGTGAGTGTACTTAAACAAGCTTTTAGTGCTCTCATTAATGTAGAGAAGATAAAATGAAGGATTAACAACACCCGCCTTTTTTTTTTCTCAAACTAAACATTGAGGCATCTGATTTCAGATCTGTAATTAGCAGCTCGTTATCCACAGAGGGAAAATAATCTGTGAAATTAGCATCTGTGGTGGAGCATTTTGACTAAAACTGTCATGTTTCACTACAGAAATAATACAGGAAGGCCAGCATTAAACATTTACGTCCCTGAGAGCCATAGTTTTTGTTAATATGTACTGTTTGGTACTGGTATAAACCTGGCTCAGCGTAGCAACATAGTATTTGATTAATAATAATAATAATAATAATAATAATATATGAAATGTATTTAGAAAACAATTTTAACAACTGATATTTATTCTTTCAACCTTTATTTAGACAGGTAACACCATTGAGCCTCGAGGACTCATTTACAAGAGAGACCTGATTTCAACAAAGAATGATGACAACAATGGACAACAGCAACAACAATAAACAATTATAAAAAGTCATACTGCAGTTTTTTTTTGTTTTGTTTTGTTTTTTTTTACAAATAGGATGGCTAAAAGAAAAAGGTAAAAAAAACAAAAAAAAACAGCTAGATTCTAAGGCGAATGTAGAAAACTAAAAACAGGAACATGTCTGTGTTGGTCCCTGCCAAGAGTCCAACAGATTCTTAAAGCCACTTAGAGAGGTCAAGGTCGAGAGCTTCAAATCATATAAACATTGCTGTAGTTGAGTACACCGATCTGGGTTTCAGTTCAAACCTTAGCTGGGGTCTTTTTGTGTGGACTTGTGTGTTTCTTTAAGTTGGTTCATTTTTCCTCCCACAGTCCAAACACATACAGGTTGTTACCTGGAGACACTAAACTGACTTTAGTCTGGTTTAAAGGGACAGTCGTGGTAATTTGTCTCTGTGTTGGCCCAGTGATGGACTGGTGACCTGAACAGGGTGTACCTTTATTGATGTCAAAAAGTTTTTTTATGTTTTGACATCTTGTTTAAGCAATTTGCCAATTTCTTTATTATTAAAGTTTTAGCTAAGTTATAGTTTTAGCTTCCCTCCATTAGCTTCCTGTCAAATTCAGAACATAATTCAAAATCTTACTTCTAACCTACAAAGCTCTCAACAACCTAGATCCATCTTATATTGCAGATCTTGTTGTTCCATATTTTCCTAACAGAGCACTTCGATCTCAGACTGCAGGCTTACTTGAGGTTCCTAGAGTTTCTAAAAGCAGAATGGGAGGAAGGTTTTTCAGTTATCAGGCTCCTCTCTTGTGGAACCAACTTCCAGTTTCTGTCTGTGGGGCTGACACATTGTCCAGTTTTAAGACTGGACTTAAAACTTTTCTTTTTGATGAATCCTACAGTTAGTCAGCTTGGTTTTCTGACCTATTCCTTGTCTATGCTGGAGGACAAATTGACTTAACTTCATCAAATGAATAGTTACAAATGCATATAAATGAATAGTTTGTATTTGTAATTATTCTTTCTTAACATGTGATTTCTGTCTTTCCTCCTAGAGAAAAACTTGGTGGCCTCCATCCTGGACCTGCCATTGTGTTTTCATTTCTCCTTCCTGTCCTCTCAGGCCCAGCCGGCCGAATCAGACGGTCGCTCGTCCTGAGCCTGGTTCTGCTGGAGGCTTCTTCCTCGTGAGGGAGTATTTCCTTTCCACCGTTGCCTCTGTGCTTGCTTAGGATGGGAGACTGCGACGAAGTGAAAACTCAAAGTAATCTGCTGGCTCCTTACATAAATATTGTTATTAACTGTTTAGTATGTGAATTTTTCTGTTCAGTGCCCTGAGATGACTTCTGTTGTGAATTGGTGCTATATAAATAAACTGAATTGAATTAATGTAATAGCTAAAACAATAAACAAATAAAAAGTTAAATGTACTTGTTGCAAAGTCGTGAGAACTTGTTATAAATTAATAAAGAAACAAAATCCACATTTATTCCTATTCAATGGTTGAAGCGTTCTTAAATTTTAAATTTGTAAGAAAATCTTGTGAATGGATGCTGACTGCAAGGTGTGTTTATTTACCAACAGAAACTGCAGACGTGACTGAAAATAAGGTAACAATAACAATATCTATAAAAGACATATTTGGGATTGAGAAATTTGACAATTTTGATGTGATGATATGTGTTTATGCTTAGATTTGTTCAGGGGGTGGCTGTGGCTGAGTGGTTAGAGCAGTTGTCCTTAGATGATAGAGTTGGGGGTTCAATTCCACCAGCAGTCACATGCTAACGTTTCCCTGAGCAAGACACTGAACCCCTCATTGCCTCGATGTGTGTCCCATCGGTGTATGAATGTGACCTAAAGCACTGATTACTCTCTACAGGTTCAGATTATCTTTGTAGAGACGTAGTAGAGTGCTGTATGAATGTGTGTGTGTGGAGGTAAATGAGGGCACAGACTGTGTTGTAAAGCGCTTCGAGCATCTGGATTAGATAGAAAGGCGCTATATAAGTACAGTCCATTTGTTAAGTACAATATGAGGATGAAATGACAAGTTAGGTTTAAACTAAACCTGCCAGACTAGCAGATGGTTTGTAAAAACCACTTGTGTTTGAACGCCAAGCTCAGTCTTTATGGTGCTTCAACACCATTCTTGACCCCTTGATGTTTATTGTTGACAGTTGTGGGATTCCTAGGTTTCCAGCCATAATCACTTTCCCCACAGCTGCTTATCATTTCAATCATCCACCTTTCCACACCTGCACCTAATCCTAGACTGCTCTGTTAAACTCATGGCAGTCATTCATCTGACGCTGGAACATTATGACACCTTTGTAACTTAAGTGACAGCCAAAAATCCTTGCTTAGGAAAAGTTTGATGTTTTCTTGTGTCCTTCTAGTCCTGCTCCTCTGTGTGTCCAGAAACCAACTCATTTCTTGTGACCTTGTCTTGTCATCCATCTGTTCCTGCAACCATTAAACATCAGCCTGGACCAAAACTACCGAGCAACCTCCACCTGTCACTCTCTCCAACATTACTCACCCCTTCCGGATCTCACCTCATCTACACTTTGGAACCTGGGACCTCGTTTCTCCCCCCCGAGATGCAATTGTCCTTCTTGTACTGTATCATGAACGGTCTGATTTATTCACCATGGAGACCTGAAGGCATCCAAATTAATTTGTGTCAAAACCTGTAAATTATTATTATGAAGCCACTTTTTTCCCACCCATGAAAATCAAACACGCCTGAGTAACATAAATAAATGATGGCAGCTAAGTGATATACCAAGAAAGGAAACAATAAATGTAATGCATGTGTACTTTGTATTAAGATGTAACGTTCGTGGCTAAATAAATAAATAAAGCCATGGTTCGTGTTGCGCATGCGCAACGCGCCATTGAAGGAAACTGTGCAGCGAGAAGTGGGAGTTAACTTAAAATTTGTGATTTACCACTCTGGTTAAGACGAATCTAAAGGTTACACTGTGTAAAATGGAGTTTCACAGTATTTTGTGAACATCTGCTGGACTTTACAAGGAGAACCCAAAGACTTTACAGGATCTGCGAAGTCTCTCATCTGGCACGGCAACTCAGGACCGTTTTCACCTGTTAGCCACCACACCAGCTAACTAGGCAGCGTCAATGGTAACTATTATCTGATCTTAAATGCCTTTTTTATATTTAAGCTTACATAGATAATAATTGCAAATAATGTTTAGAATAATTTCGATACGTTATTTTTCCACTGGCTGTCAAGCAAGTTGGCAAGAAACATGTTGCGCTGTGCTAACCTTTTAAAAGCTACATTAGCTGGGATGCTATCAACAATCATTAGCGCAAGCTCAGGTACTATGTAGTTTCCGATTTAGCCTTTCAAAATAAATTTAAAAAGTTTCAGCGCGACTTGGATTTGTAGATTTAACTGATTTGTCTGTCATATTATGCTTACTGGCCTTGTGAAATCCAGGTTCTCATTAGTCACACTGAACTGAACTGAATTATTCAAGATTGGTTTATAGTGGTACCTTTATTTCGAAACCTCAACATTCTCACTTCCTTTTAAGAAGCCGGAACTTGTTTTGCACCTCCCCCAAACAAACGGTAGCCAGTCTGGCGCCGCTACTTAGCTAACCAGCTTCACTTGTGTTTTCTAAACAAACTCATGAAGTACGCATTGTATTCGCATCAATATATATTGGTGAGTCAGCATAATCAATGTTCACTTACTAAATATTTTATACTGTTAAAGGGTCATGATAACTTCTACCATCCACCATCTCGAAAAACATGCTTTTTGTTTATCGTTTTGCTAGAAATAATTGTCCTTTGTCATTTTTTCTTGAAATTGTTTTTCATACTGAAAGGTGTTTGTGTTTAAATCGATTTAGCATACTTTCTTATCAAGCCTTACAACATATAGGTAGCATAATAATTATGTAGATCAATTAAAACTTTTATACAACTTTTAACTTGCATAATATTTTGCTTTTATAATCTCTTCTCTTTGAGACAGAGATTTGTCATCACCCATTTCTCTCATCCGTCCTGTGAAGATTTAGACACCAACTTCCTGAAGATGATGGGAAACTGACACCAAGAGTGAAATATTTTCTCAGAACGTGTGACGGAACTATAAAATAAAAATGTCTATCACCAACACTCCTACCAGCAACGATGCCTGCTTAAGCATCGTCCACAGCCTGATGTGCCACAGACAGGGTGGCGAGAGTGAGACGTTTGCAAAACGAGCCATCGAGAGCCTGGTGAAAAAACTAAAGGAGAAGAAGGATGAGCTTGACTCCCTCATCACAGCTATCACTACCAATGGTGCCCACCCCAGCAAGTGTGTGACCATTCAAAGGACACTTGATGGACGGCTACAGGTAAGAAATAAAAAATTTGAGGACGTTTTCTCTTCCTCACATTAGTGGCTTCTTATTATCAATAAACTCTTAACTGATCTCAGCTGTGAGGACCGTGAGTGTGCAGTGAATTATTTCTGTTTTCCTGTGTTGTTTCCAGGTGGCAGGGCGTAAAGGGTTCCCTCATGTAATCTATGCTCGACTGTGGCGGTGGCCTGACCTGCACAAGAATGAACTGAAGCATGTAAAATACTGTCAGTACGCTTTTGATCTGAAGTGTGACAGTGTGTGTGTGAATCCCTATCACTATGAAAGAGTAGTGTCTCCTGGCATCGGTAAGTACCTGAGTACGTTGTGGTATGCGTTTGAGTGCATTTTAACCGTCAAAATGGAGACATGTCTCAGTTTTACTTCTCAGTACTGAGATTAAAAAGTTGCTTTTAAGATTTGAATTTAGCATTTTTATAGTAATGTTAGCTGTAGATTAAAGCTATCTGGTTTAAAAATACTAGAAAGCCATACAACGATTTTTAGGGTAGCTTTTTTTTCTAAAAATCTTTTTAAAGCTGTTTTATCTTTTCATTACTTGTCCAACCATCATTCTGTATCACTTTGAATGTGTTAATGTAGTCAATAAGATGTCCAGTTCTTAAGTCATTTTTTCTCTTGGTCTGCAGACTTATCGGGATTGACTCTGACCGGTCCTGGACCCAGTTCAGCTCGGCCAATCAAGGACGAGTATGATTTTGACGGGCCACAGAGTATTCCCTCTGTTGAGGGGAGCCACTCTCTTCAGACCATCCAGCACCCCCCATCCAGTAATTGTCCTGCTCAGCCTGAATCATTTCCAACCCCGAGCCTGCTCCCACCCACTGAGGCTTCCACCTCAGCATCAGCATCATCCTTTCCTCCTATTCCTGCAGCATCAAGCAGTAAGATACAGAACATTCATGCATGCTTGTGTAGGCCGCATCTCTTTGTTTTTGTTCACTTAAACTCTTTCCTTTAAAAATACATTGTTTCTGTTTAGGGATTAGTCACAGCTGGCTTTTTAATGGGTAACAACAGGACATTTGTAAATTTATATTATTCACTTTTGTTCTGAATATATTTTGCTTTTCAGGTGCCAGCTCCAACTGGCCCAGAAACAGTGTTTTCCCACCCAGCATACCTCATCACACCAATGGCCATCTTCAGCACCACCCTCCGATGCCACATCCAACACACTACTGTAAGCTTTGACTATAGTTTTTCCTTGATCAATGCACAAGTAACCAGTGTGTGTGTGAGTGTGTGTGTGTTGGGGGGGCGGGGTTGTTGCACATCATGGTACTACTGACTGTATGCAAAACAATTTTTGTCCCCACTCAGGGTCAGTGCATAATGAGCTTGCCTTTCAGCCTCCCATATCGAACCATCCAGGTGAGAAAACAACTCAAAACATGCGGAATTTTTTTGCCAAAACGTTTGCCTATTGGTCTTTATTAGCATGTTTTAAAATAATAATGCTCAGTTTCATTCACATTGAATCATCTAGGATTTATTGTTCAATTAGATTTCTTACTTGAGACTGATGACATCTTCTGCCCTCTGCTTTAGCTCCTGACTACTGGTGTTCCATCGCTTACTTTGAAATGGACGTTCAAGTCGGAGAGACATTTAAAGTCCCATCTTCTTGTCCCATTGTGACTGTGGATGGATACGTTGACCCCTCAGGAGGAGACCGGTTCTGTTTAGGCCAGCTCAGTAACGTACATCGCACTGAGGCTATCGAGAGAGCACGGTAATTTACCCAGATATCATTAAAAAATAAATAAGATTCAAAAGAAATAATTCTACTACAGACTAGGGCTGGGCCATATCATATCGTTCACGATAATACCCGTAAAAAAATAATCTTGCTCGGGCAAAAAAATGATATCGTTATATGCTAATTCATGACGTAATACGTCAGGGTGCCTTGCCCCCTTAACAGAACCGTGCGGGCCGAACAACCAAGCAGAACTGCGCCCCCCCCACCCCCCCACCCCCACCTGTTGGGACTGGTGTAATGCTAATTAGTTGCATGCAATGCTAGCTAGCTAAAAAGTTAAAAACAAACCACGCGCGGCTCAGCTGTCTCTCCATCCAGCTCTAAACTGCAGGTACAGACAGCTCAACTGTCTCTCCCTTCCCCCGCTCTAAGCTGCCACTCGTCTTTTTTTTTTCCCTCCCCACTCTGCTCTGACTGCCAGTGTGGGTCTCCCCTGCCAGTACAAACGCGCGCAGGTCTGTCTCATATTAGTTCCACAGTCCATGACCATGGCCCAAGAACAAAGTCAGGTGATGAAAGACAGAGCATCAGAGAAATGAATCATTCCTGCAGGAACAGAGGAAGCTGAAACACCACAAGCTTCAGGGTCAGCTGATCAACTTGTTACAAGTTCTGGAAGTTATAGCTCATTTAAAGGCAACATATATTTTGTTGTATGTTACATTTATGTTCAACAGATCTTAAGCTTCATTTTATTTAGTTATTTTGGGAAACTTCACCTGCACTTTAGTTTTTGTGGTGGATTTTGTTGATTTGTATTTTGTGCAGACTTTTTCAATCTAAATAACAGAAGGATCTTTTTTATTTTTATACTTGGAGACTGAATACTTTACTAAATAAAGTAATTTCAGTCAAATTAACTAGTTTTGAAGTTAATTTTGTCAAACGAATAACTGATTTCTGTTTTCCTTTTTTTGTTATATCACAAAATTTATCGTTATCATCAGAATGCTCTGAAATATCACAATATAATATTTAAGCCATATCGCCCACCCCTACTACAGACGGTGTATATTGTTCAGTGCACTGAACAAGTTTTAGGTTATGTTTTGAGGTATATTACATGCGAATCTTGACTGTTTTAGTATCGGTTTGTATTGCTTAACCCATTTGAATGGGATATAATGCCAGTTCTCCACATCAGACCATTAAACTGCAGAGCAATGAGAGTTTTAATGGACACTGATGATAACTCCATCACATTTTGGAAACTGTTTAGAAAATGTTCTTGTTTTAAAGTGATTTTAAAAGGACAGTTTAGGTTTTAATTGGTTGAACAGTAATTCTGGGCAACTAAAACTTATTATCTATATCCCGTCAACTTCTTGTTCATTCCAGGACTTCTTACTCTGAATGTTTTTATAAAACAAATTTTCTTTAGTAGTGCTTCATATTGTTTAGGTTTCTGGTTTTACAAATGCCTTACTCTGAATCGTGCTGGCAGAGCAGAGCAGAGATGAACATTTTAAGGCTTACTTTAAATGGGTCCTAAATGATCCTGTAAACATGACAGCTTTGCCTCTATGGGTCGAGGTAGCTTCCATAAACTTGTGTTTTGGAAAATGTAGTTTCTGTAAAATGTAAAGCACACAGCTGGAGGTCACAGCTCTGTACATTTGTTTTTTCTTTTATGTCTTCCTATCATCGCATGTTTAACCTCCACAACATCTGTTAGCATTAAAATGAAGGAATAGTCATAACTGCTTATAAACACTTTCACAGTCAGCTAATCAGGCTCACTTTAACCAGATGTGTAAATTAAATAAAGCAAGTTTTAGAATGAGTGAATAAGAAGAGGGATTGTGGTATTAAAATAAAAACCAACGTCTGAAATATACAGTTTTTTTAATAATGCACCAATTAAATCATTCTAAACAGTAAAATGTTTATCCTTTTATTAGTTTTTAAGTGAGTGCAGCTGCTCTGTATTTTGCAGAAGAATCAAATAGACCAACTAGCAGAGCTAAAAGATGATTTCAGCTTCAGATCTTACATTTCCACTGAGGGGTCTAAGGTTCAGGGTGTGTAGATAAATGAAGCCCATAAAGTGTGGAGTGTTGGAGCCGAAGTGCTGCTCAGGTCTTCAGTGGAACTACAGAAAATCCACAGCTAAAATAATAGTTTCCCTCTGCAGGCTTTTGAACAATTTGCATTTTTGTGTGTTTACTCTATGTAATATATGATGTTCAATTTATCTCGGTTTGTTTTTATACTTTATCAATTCCCAGACTTCACATTGGTAAAGGAGTTCAGCTGGAGTGTAAAGGTGAAGGAGATGTGTGGGTGCGGTGCCTCAGTGATCATGCAGTGTTCGTTCAGAGCTACTATCTGGACAGAGAAGCAGGCCGAGCTCCAGGAGATGCTGTTCACAAAATCTACCCCAGCGCATATATCAAGGTAAGGCAGCTAGCTTTACTTTGTAGCATTCGTTACTGTGCAGTAAAAACAGAGACCAAAGGTTAATAACGTTTAGAGAGGTTTTTTTTGTCCCTTCCTGCTGCAGTTACTTGTTTCCTCACCCTCTTTTCATATTTTCCCATTTATGTCTCCTGTACACAAATGGTTAAAGAGGTATCGGGCATGTAAAGTGTCCTCTGTCCCCCCAGGTGTTTGACCTTCGTCAGTGCCACAGACAGATGCAGCAGCAGGCTGCTACAGCGCAGGCGGCAGCAGCTGCACAAGCAGCTGCTGTGGCAGGAAACATACCTGGGCCCGGATCAGTGGGAGGGATAGCTCCAGCTATCAGTAAGCTACAGGAACTGCACATTTAGACGTACATTCACCGTTTGATTGGTAGTGGAGGCAACCCCAACCTTAAATTTGACTTTTAAATATAAATATGCAAGTTCTCTGTTTCTGCCTCCACTAGAGCAATGGGCTGTTTATAAGGTTTTCAAATAGAGACATAATTTACTGTAAGCTAGTGATATTTTTTCCACTTTCAAGATGCAGAAAGTTGCAAAATAGAACACTACATAATCAGTCGAAATTATATTTTATAGTTTTGTACCATCTACATATTAAAAATTAACAACCTTTAAAACAAAAATTAAATTTGGCCACATTCATGTTCGAGCAAACTGCCTCCTCTGTCCTGTCAGGTCTGTCTGCAGCAGCTGGGATCGGTGTTGACGACCTCCGGAGGCTGTGCATTCTCAGGATGAGCTTCGTTAAAGGCTGGGGGCCGGACTACCCCCGCCAGAGCATCAAGGAGACCCCCTGTTGGATTGAAATCCACCTGCACAGAGCTTTGCAGCTACTGGATGAGGTTCTTCATACCATGCCTATAGCAGACCCTCAGCCTCTGGACTGAGATGTTCCCAGAAGCTGACCTCCACAGGCAACGGAGTCTTCCTCGGGGGTGGAGAAGAAGGTGAAATCAAACTCATAGAACCATTTTCATGAGAAATCTTAGTGCACTGTGGCTCTTATTTGCTCGTGATCAAAACATAAACCAAAGCCATGGATTAATTTTATGTTTTACAGTTTTGCTAGGTGGCTTTTGTTTTATGACTGAGCAGAGAAAGAGGTCACAGTTTATTAACGTTAAAAAACACTATGAACATTAAGGACCAGATCAGATATGAAACTGGAACGTGAACAGAAACCACCAGCAGCTTCTGATGGGCTCGGCGCACATTAAACACCGTCAGGGTGCTAGAACACCGTCGTTTTCATCGAAGACCACTCTACACCTGCAGCTACAGCCTTCAGTCGGCCGTCTGGCTACAACGAAAACCAGTTGAACTCTATAGATCTTTTCTCAACGTCACTGCCTCTCAGCCAGTGGGAAGACACCAGCGCTGGAACACAGCATACCAGATAATCACAGATTTCACACAAACCAACCACAAACCATATCTGCAGCTGGGCCTCAACCTCTGAACTGAAACAAGTCTGGACTTGTCCAGGTCGGGTGAAGTCACACTGTGGGCTTTGAAAAGACAAGTTTAGCTCAGTGGATGGAAAATCTTTGTTTCCCCCTTGTCTATTAAACCAGTTGAAGTAGCAGCTCCTGGTTTGTGTGGTTGACAGCAATATATGTCATGTCTGCACTAATGCTTTTACACACACGCACAAGTATTTACCGATACTGATTCAACTGTGATTTTAACATTTCTCAAGAAAAATTCAACCCACATTCATGCCATCACTTTTCTGTTGTCCTGGATACTAATTTGGATCGTCGTCTCTTTATGCCTTCAGTCGTGCACCGAGTAGAAGAAAACGAGCTTTGGGGCTTTAGGTTCAGTAGACAGTCCTCACTCTTCTCTGATGCAAGAAAGCAAAAAAGGTTGTCATTCTTGAATACACACACAAAAAAAAGTGTTTTATGTGTGTTTTGGTGATCCAAAGTAATAAGTATTTAAAAAAAATAAATAAAAAGTCACTCTTGTATAGACATGAAATGGAAAAAAAAGTCCAATCTGGATTTTCTACAACCTGTCACAATGAATGCTTTTTTTAAAATTGGAAATATTTCACTTTTAAGCTTTAATTTCTCATGTTAACCAGTTTAAACATGTGTCACTAATATTAGGGTGGTTTAAGTAATTTGTATACTTGTAGCACTTTACTTTTGTCACTGAGTGTGGCCACGTTGATCTGCAGTATTTCTAAAGAAAAAAAAAAAGTGGATTTTAACACAAACATAATGTAAGACTAAAATTCTGTTTTACATCGTCATTTAGCGTTCACATACATTTGAGCTCCATTTAGTATTTTTTCAGTTTGGTTTTAGCTTTTTCTCATTAATCCATGTAAATAACTTTGTTTTCAAATGCATGTAAACGTCTGCATGAAGTTTTGTCAGAAAGCTCTCTAACCTTTTAAAAAAGAGACAGTTTCCTGCATTAGACAGGGAAATAATCTGAACATGATAGAAACCTCAGCCTGATGCTTATTGATGTTGCTAGTTTATGGAAGAAAAACCCACACACGCCAGACGGTTGTGATTCAATATAAATTCAACATTTTTAGCAGACTAGTGTTCAGCCTGAGCGGACGATCTTGTAGTGGAATTGAAGTGGAATTGAACAAGAAGGCTTGGTTTTTTTTTATTATTAAGCTGAGTAAAAGCAGGTTTTGTCTTTCACAAGTGATGAAACCTGCAAAGCTGATGACAAAGGTTTTTAATTTACCTTCTGCTCCATGCTGCATGTGATTCACTGTTTTGAAAAGCATTTATTGAAGATTACAATCACTGTTCAAACTTTTTATTTTTTTTATTTCCACCATTCACTATGTTCTGAAAATCTGTTAAAGTTGGATTGTTTTACAGTGACTTTTAGGGTTTCCCATCCAGCAGATTAGTTAAAAGTCAAGCAGCAGTTTGCTTTTTTTCTTGTCTCAGGTGTGAGATGTGTTTAGAAAGTTTGTCAGAGACAAATTATGAAATATTCACTAAGGTTTATTCAGCTGAATGACAGGAAACATATTTTATGGGGTGGGGGGTTATTAGTTATTAAACTTTGACGTGGTTTTAGGATGAACAGATGTTTTAAATGATTATCGTAGGAGCCAAAAGACTGTTTGTGTTGACTACTATAACAGATCTTAGATCAATATTTTACTTGTATTTCTCTTGTGAGAGTACCATTAAATATGGCCTGATATTGCCCAAGTGGTGTCGTGTTTACTTTGTAAATCATCAAGCCAATATATCTTTCAAGAAGGTCGCTAAACTGAGATATTATAGAAACTGGATTTTTCATACAAAGGCCTGGCTCTGCCCGTACGTGTAGTGAGTTACATTAACGCTCAAGTTTCAGTGGTGGAAAATGATTCAGTGAAATTCCTGGGAATTTATTCAGTACATTTGGCAAATATTTGCCCAAACAAGAATCAAGCCTTCTGTTTTCACAAAGTTGCACCAGTAGATGGTTCTCATTAGCTGCTCATCAAGTCATTTTCTACTGCGATAGACCACAACATGGACATAAACTTGTTTGCTGGTTGTGTAAAATACAGCACAAGTTTCTGGACTTTTAATGGCAGTTCAAGTCTATTGAACTGAATTTAAACAAAATGATCTCCACACTTTAAGGTCAGACTTTCACAGATTTAATTCTGAATAAATTACAGAACAATAAAGGAGAATAGACTTGACTTGTTGCTTTTTGTTTGTCGAATGTTGCAAACTACTTGTGACAGAGACTCAAAGACACTTGAACTCTCACAGAAGGCTGGGAGTAATTGAAGCTGTAAAGCTGAGCTGCCTGGAAACAAACCGCACCAGCTGCATAATGGACAACACTGACATTAAACAATGCAGAATGATCAATATAAAGCTGATGTAAGATAAGAACTATTGATCCTGCAGGAAATTATTGAATGCAGTGCGCTCAGCCAGAGATCTGATAAGAACAAAAGAGCTTTGGTAGTAAGAAATACTCATGACATTTATCTGCTCAAAAGTATTAATTTATTTTTTCAGTAAACGTTGCCTTTAAGTTTGAACAACAAAAATAACCCGAGGTGTAGCAAAGTATTTGTGTTGATGAATTGTTATATTTTGTGTGTGGGGGATCAGATTTAACGCAGGGCTGCTCATTTTGTTCCACAACAACTGAACAGGATGATACGTGCATGTGATCCGGGCGTTATAGCTGTGACAATATTCTAAATCCTTCAGTGTACGCCATGTGCAATATTTGGTGTAACGTTTAAAAAATGGTCAAACCCACATTAGAATTCCAAATCTTTGATTCAGTTCAATTCAAATTCAAAAATACTTTAAATATTTTAATCCCAAAGCAAAATTATTTGGTGCAACTCATCCTAATTTCATTAAGAGATGTTATAGATCCTGATGGCTGTAGGCAGGAAGGATCTCTTGTAAAGGTCTATTCCACAGTGGATCCTAAGAAACTGGCTGCAGATGTCGTCCGATCCGTCCACCCAGACTCGGCTGGCCTCTCGGTTCCTCCAGGCTGCAGGACCGTCTGAATGTCGGGCAGAACTCCTCCCAGAGCGATGGCCACTCCTCCCAGCATTCTGCCGAGCTACTCGTCGCTGCCGACAGCCAACTGTAGGTGCTGAGGGACGATCCTGTCCTTCCGCTGTCATGAGCCGTGTTTCCTCCTAGTTCCAGGATCTCAGTGGTCAGGCACTCGAGCACAGCCGGCAGGTAGATGAGAATGCGTCCACAGAACATCCTTTCAACTCATTTGAGATTTGGGGCTGTAGTTGAGAGATTATTTGAGCTTTTGAGATGTTAATCAGCTGCTGTTGGTTGTAGAAAACTGCCTTGTTGCCATGGTTACGCATCATAACAAATGTCCAAAACTAAAAAAGTTTCAATAAAATCCTTCTAGCTGCACAGCATCCGATACCAGAGGAAACATCCATCCATTATCTTTTACCCGCTTATTCCATTTTGGGTCACGGGGGTCGCTGGTGCCCATGTCCAGCAATCACTGTGCGAGGGGCGGGGTACACCCTGGACAGGTCTCCACTCCATCCCAGCGCCACACAGAGACAAACGAGACAAACAACCATTCACTCTCTCACTCACACCTAGAGACAATTTAAGTTACCAATCAGACTAACATGCATGTTTTTGGTCTGTGGGAGGAAACTGGAGAACCCGGAGAAAACCCACACATGCACAGAGAGAACATGCAGACTTCATCCAGAAAGGCCCCGGGACCAGGATTTAAACCAGGGACCTGCTCGCTGAGGCAGCAGCTCTACCAGTTGCGCCACCGTGCTGGTCCCCAGTATCCTTAGTTTAAAAAAATAAAATAAATCAATTTACCAACAAGACATAATAAAATTTAGACTTCTTATGCAAAAGTTTTAAAAAACATTTTTTTAAGTCACTGTTTCCAGAACTAGTCTGAACTTTAAAGACTTAGAAATATAAATATATACGTATATAATATATTGTCACAAGAGCCAGTTTACAGAATGTCTTATATTCCTAAAGGATACTGGAAAGACACATTTTATAAAGCATGCTAAACTATGTTACAATAATACAAAGCCTGAAAAGGGTCTTTAGATTATCTGTCAAAGAAAATCCATCTGTTATCTTTACCCACTTCCTTAAAGAAAATGTGAGTTTTCTAATCTCTATGCAGCTCTTGGATTGCTTTAAACATCTTGATGTGGCCCTTTGGAAAAAAACTGTTGCCCACCTCTGGACTAGAAGTTGCAGATCATTACTTCAGACAATCATGAAGCACTAGACTCTCACATGCACTCGATCCTTAATGACACGATTCTGCAACATTTCAGAAATTAGCATGAAAAACATCACCACAAAGAACAAATGACAGAAATCTGGAGTGGCTTTAAATGAAACCATCTTTATTACGTAACCTTAATATCAGAAAAATAAAACTCTTAAAATTCTCTTTACAGCAAATATATAATATCAGTGCTTTGGCCGCAATAACTTAAAAGGCCATTATAAAATATAGTCTGCTTTTAAACTCCTGACTGAATTTGAAGAATTTATATGCCTTAAGACTCCTCTCCTACACATATACAAAACAAAAGTGTAGTAAAATTAGCAAATACTCTGAACCGTTGGTACAGCTTTGAACAATATGTATTCATATATATGTAATAGATACATTTGTAATAGGATATCGCTCTAAATTTGGTGTTGTACAGACATAACAGGCAGCTTGAATCCTTGGCCTTTTTACAGTTGCAGTGATGTTCCACAATGGCGGTAAATTATGAAGACATGCTCGTGATGCACATTCCACTTTCAGCTAGGTTTAACGGCAGCTATCAATACTATTATCATCATCATCATCAATACTGTAAACTAATAACTAGACTACAAGCAGACGGCACTGAAACTCTCCCGCAACATTTCTGGATTTCCAGCTCTTCATTCACCTAAATCATTCAAAAATATATTTTTTGTGTTTTGTTTTTTTTTAAATATTATTGTAAACTTTTTAATATAGATATATTTATGTATATACGAAATGTAACAAAATAAAAAATAAGTTCTGTGTATTTATCAGTCATTAACAGTAATATATAATACATAAACAAAAATGTCAATATATCCTTGTCATTTAAAGGAGGGCCGATTATGAATTGCATTCCCTCGGAGAGAAAGAGAAAAAATAAAATCAGCTCTTAGAAGAGTAAAATACGTGGGACGGATAGAAAAGCCACAAAGACAGAAGCTGATGGGCTTTTTCTATATGTATATTTGCTCGTTAGGGACTCGTTTGGTTCCGTTTTCTCACGAAAGCTCAATCACCCATAAAAGAAAAAAAAAGGTACAGAAGAATTAAGCGACATAATAAATCTCAAAATACTGTTTCCAGCTGGAATGCAAAAGAGACAGCAGTCCGATGTCCAGAAAATAAAAACTGACATTACGTAGTGTCAGCAGTCTGTGATGAACTCATTCTAACTGCTGCCTGTCATTATATATATATATATATTAAAAAAAGAATTTATTCAAGCCTCTAAAAAAGTCGAGCCATCAGTTTTTAAAGCTAATACTTGAGACGATTTCCACTAAATTACTGTACCTTTTCAGGAAGATGAACGTTAAGTAGGCATGCACGGGGGAGGGGAAACGAAGATGTGCTTGTCCCAGAAGTGTTATGATGTGGAGGGAAGGAGCAAACAAATGAGCCAATAAAACAGAAGTGTCCCACCCAAAACATCTCATGTGTGTTAAATATATAAAGGTTAAACGTGAGTAGAGGAAAACCCAGAAGGGGTGTGTGTGTTTACAACGTGAAGCCAAAGTTAGTTTCATCTACCTGCTGCGTTCCACTAGATCAAATACTGAGATGAGTTTTGCATAGGCAGGGCAGACGAGATGTTTGATGGCGGAGTAAAGCAACGGATGGTCTTCATCTCCCGATTTCACATCCTAACAAAATAACCAGACATCTCCAGGTCGGCGCAGCCTGAGAGAATGAACATTCAAGTAACAAGAAAGAGGGGAAATTATTGAGATGGCTTCAAGAATCAAAACAAAAACAACAACAACAGCAGCCAGCATCCACACCGCCGGGATTCGTTCCAGATCAAAGTTGAGAATATCAACCATCGTTTTGTTCCCAGGTGAGGTTCACGCAAGAATGACGAGTCACGCCTATACCATCTACAAAACTGCAATCCCACGGAGGAGGAATGTTACTAAAATACAAGATGTGCACAGCCTTCTAGCTGAAAACCAGCACATGGTGTCCCAAAAAAAAAAGATGTAAACAAAAACATTAAAACAACCTAAAAGGACAAAAAAATACATGAAATAAAAAGGTACAAAACACTTTAAAGAGGTTAATAAGGAGCAAAAAAAGAAAGCATCCTGTGATTTAAGATGCCTTTAGCAGACGCTAAACTCCCAACATGAAGATTTCTGCTCGTCAGATTTGAACGTAGTGTTGTGAGTTATAAATAGGTTTTCCAAAAAGGCCACGAGTCAGTTCGAGGACAGAGCAACACCGTGTCCACAAAACCAGTTGTTTCCTTTGTTTACTCATTGGAATTAGGCACAAGTTTACCGTAAACTGTTTTGGGTATAAATAGAAAATCGCATGCTGTAGAGGCGTAACAACCCGTTGGTCTAGAAAGTAAATAAATAAAAAGGAGTTACACACTTTTTGGTTCTGTTCTGGACGGGGAAATAGAAGTAATCTGGAGTGTGACAGCTTTTCAGGCTTGACCCATTGGATTAAAAAAAGAAAACTCTTTGGGAGTGTTTGTTTATATATTAGGATGTTAATGTGAGTTAGCAAAACATATATAATTCTGGATTATGATTTGCAGAATGCAAAAATATCAATTTATAGGAACTGATTCACAACGAAAGCCTCATTTTACAAAACATTCCTCGGATAAAGTGAACTCTGACAGAATGTCAAGCTTCCTGTCGCATTCAAGAGTTTACTGAATTTATCTAATACAAAGCCAAATGTGGGACTAAATATTATTATTATTATTATTATTATTATAGTACACATGCTCGCTTCTTGTCCTTTCTGAGATTCTCGCAAAATAAAAATTTAAAAGTGTTGACCTGAAGGCATCTTTCCAACAGAAATTAACATAAAATACATAAAAAATATAAGTGGAGAGAAACTAATAACAAAAACTAGGGAAATTAGAAAAACTATGTAAAAAGAATGTGTAAATCAATCCCTACCCTCCTAATGCTACATAGAGGATTTCTAACCCTCCCGTTGATCAATCAAGCCTTTGCAACAGCAGGCACATGAATGGGCTGAACACCCGGACACTCGCCCTAAACAAACATCATTCCTATTTCACTTCTTCTGCACCTTAAGTCAACTTAACACCAGCCTGGACAGAGCTGGGCTGAGACCTAAACACTGATTTGGGGTCTGCTTGTAAGTTTAGGACATATGCTGTGAACCAGATTTGTTGGGGAGGTTGACCCTTCATCAGAAATCAAGGTTAATGGATTAAAAATCACATATTGCGGAGCTGAATGGCCTGTGTGGCCGGGGACAGGCACACGGGGCACACAGCCTCTGAGCCTTGGCATATCTGGGTGGCACAATCTACACAGAAGAGGTTATGGCCGCATGGAACCAAGGCGGCGTTCACCTGGTTATCCATACACTGGATGCACATCTCCTGCCCCCTCCCTGATGACCCGAGGCCCGGACGATAGGAGAAAGAGGAGTCAGGAGGAGAGGAGGAGGTGGTGCTTTCACTGGAGGAGGAGAAGGCCGAGCTGTACGAGGGGATCCTGTGGGCGTCGAGGGTCCCGGCTGACCCGAAAGGCCTTCTGTGAACACGCTGGGCCTGAGGGTGCTCCAAGGCTTCAGTCCCAGAGAAGGTTGGAGAGAGGCGGGGCGTACCGGGCTGGCTGGTCTGAAGAAACAACCGACAGTCGTAACAAGTTTAAAATATATTCATGTTTAGGTGTGAATATTGTAAACTGCGGGACTCTTGTGCACTTACCTGAGACTGCAAAGAATCCAAGGCCTGAAGAGACTGGTTGTCCACGAACGAACTCCAGATGTGCGACTGTGCAGCGGAGTGCGAGGTATGGGCAGTGGAAATGGTTAACGGATCAAATCCCGAGGAGCCTCTACCGCCCAGGATGAGGAGCTCCTCAGACCCCACGCCAAGGAGTTTATCACCAAACCAGAAGTTTGTGCTGCCGCCACTGTTGTTGTTGTTGTTGTTGGAGTTGGCGTTGAACGGAAAAGTTGGGCTGAAATCTGCCATCCGGTTCCCGTTCCCCCCGCTGTAGAAAGAATCAGCCGAGCTGGAGCCGCTGCCCAGTGAGCTAGAGCTGTCATTGCGGTAGGTGGAAGACATCCTGACAGCTCCACTCATATTGCTGTTGACCCGCTGAGTGCTGCTGATGGTCGCGGGAGGCGCGCTTCCCCCGCCTGGTGATGATGCGCCTGCATGGAGCCATCCAGCCTCCCCCAACCCAGCTGGAACTGCAGAAGTGTCAAAGCTGACGTCTGTGCCGTTGAACTGAAAATCACTGTTATCCACACCTGGAACTTCAATGCCCCCGCAGGTTCCAGTGCGGAGGGCGATGTGCGCCTCTATTTCTTCCCTCGCCCGGTCCACGTTCTCCGGCATCCCCGTGACCTCAAAAACGGGCTCTTTATCGCGACTTGGAGTCACGATGTAGGTGTGGGTCTGCTGCTGGATGCGCTTGATGGTTGCACCTGGGAAGGGATTAAAAGGGAAAACAAATTCACTTCTAGAGCTGAGAGGAGAAGAAACCCAGCCTCCATATTCCTGTCTCCTCTCAAGTTTAACGTCCCATCTCGCTGTGTTCACTGAACCCCAAAAGTGAGAAGGACAAATTATGCAGTGGCTCTTTGCAGACATTTGCACTAAGAGTAGAAATCAGATTTATCACTTTTAAAATGGGGGAATAGACATTTTAAATGCTCTGCCTCATTGACAATAACTAAACCAACAAAACAAAAATAAACGTGTCATGGTTTAAATGAGCTCTTCCAAGCACTTGCCTCAAAACTTAGAAAGAGAAAACAACGTGGACCGACACCGAAGCAGACATGAAGTTAAGACACGAGTGCATCTTGTATATTAACAGCTCAGCTGTTGTGCTACTTCTTCTGCGCTGAAGTGACTTACCATTACGAAACCAGTTAAACAAATGGCACAATAAGATTGTCCCAAAAAGAGGGATCATTATTAACTTTCATAAATATTAGGTTTTCTCCACATGGTAGTCTGCACTCCGTTTGTCAAGTTTCAACCTGGATGATGGAGTTCTGTGTTCATATCACACGTGTTTCCAGGCAGAGAGGTGAGGACTGGCTGCAAGTGTCTCACAACATCCCCTCAGATTAGGGATGCACGATATTATCGGCACGGTATCGGACGATATTGGCGTTTAAGTTAAATATTGGACATGGGCCATTCCATCAAAATAACTCACCGATATAAAAGACGCTGGTTTTGTATGACAACTCAGTGACAAGGATGCCTGCAGCGCCAGCACAACGTGATGACGTCACGCGCGCCTACCTGATCTGATCACAGCAGAGAGGAAAATTCAAAATGTCGGTGGTGTGGAAGGTTTTTTTTCCGTTGGTGAGGATGTCCGATTCTAAAGATTTATGGACTACGTTGAGCCTCGCTACATCGTCCCCAGTCAGAGATATTTTTCCGACGTAGCCTTACCCGAGTTACAAACTGTCATTTCCGACGTCATTGAGAAGCTAATAGCTGATAGCACTTGGGTGAGTTTTACCACAGGCATTGGGATGTCTTGTTAGCCCCGTTAGCACGATTAAGTCTTATGACACAATGGATAAACAAAAACTTTGAACTTAAAAAGTCTGTCCTTCATGCACAAGAGTGCAGAGGATCCCACACTGCAGCTAAGAACCTGGAACAAGCCTCCACAAGTCAGACAGCATCGCAGGTGACTAATGCTAATAAATAACATTTAACATAAGTTAAAGTGCTATGCATATCATACGGCTGTTACTGAATATATGTCACCAGCTTTTACAGCTGTTACACAATTTTTGTAGCAAGGAACCTAGATGAGAGGGCTGTGTTGTGACAAAAGAAAGTATGTTAAAAATATTGGTATAACTTATCGGCCAAATAAGTTTTAACATAACAGCATATCAAATATCGGCCAAAAATCACAAGAAAGAAAGGTTTGGTGTGTAATGAGCAACAAATCAGGCTAAAAAAAGGGAACTGTTGCTAACTGTAGCAGGGCAGGTTGACCAAAGCGCACACAAATTAACACTAAAGACTTCACAGACATGTACGCTTTCAGTAATTGCACTGCCTTTTTTCTGATGATACTAAAATGTGACTTTAAAGAAGCACAGCTGTGCAGTAATTACAGCTCTGGACTGTGGGCTGTTCAAATGACTCACCTAGAAAAAAAAAAAAAAGAGCACAAAAAAATCCTGTCAAATTTTATCTAATTCTCTAAAGAGTTTTTAAAATGGCAACACAAAATAAATTTTACAAAAAATTAGGGATGCACGATATTGGATTTTTGACTGATATCCGATATGCCAATACGTTAAAACTTATTTAGCCGATAACCGATACCAATATATATATTTTCCTAGACCTACTTACAGAGTCTACATAGCTTTCTCTGCTGTGGAATTAAAATACTACTGCTACCAAATGCAGATGCCAAAAAGGGGACTGATAATGATGTAACACTTCAACTTGGATTATGTTTAATGTCAAATTTATTCATAACATTTCCTCTAACACAATGACAACACTCGAACAGTCGTACAAAAACAGTGCCATATATATATATATATATATATATATATATATATATATATATAAATAAAACAAACAGCGCCTTTTATATCGCAGAGTCATTTTTAAAAAATGGCCAATGTCCAATATTTATAATTTTATCGTTAATATCGGCCGATACCAATACCATGCCGATAATATTGTGCATCCCCCCAAAAAAACCTCTTATAAAATAAAGACAGAAATAAATCCTGCTTTGCGGTGGTTAAATCATTTGCTACGACACGCGAGTAAGACTTTGACTTGTCAGCTCGCCCTCTGCAGTGTAACGGCACATGAGTGGGAAGAGCTCAGAAACGTTTTACAAATCAACCTCGACGTGCCAAAGGTTAAAGACTGAAAGGATGGAAGACATTAAAGACACGCCAAGGTTTCAATTAGACAGCAGATCATTTCCTAAATATACCCAGAAAAGAAACAAAATATAGATTTTGATGTGTTTTGTTCATATTTTTTTAATTTGTTGGTACCTGCACAAAACAGACAAATGTAACTTATGAACTAAAATTTAACAGCACATCGTGAGCTTCATTCAACCATGTTATATTTATCTAAAAATTGTGAAACTTGACATCGTTGAAGCATTCATATACATTTGACTCTGTACCTGGTGCTTGTTGTTTTTAAATTCTTGGGAAAAATTGCAATCAAAATGAAAATGTTCTGGTATATTTTTAACTCTCTTGACAACAATGCCCCAGCAGCTGATCACACCACTTTCATCTGAATAGAAATGAGGTAAAAACTAACCTTTTGGGCCCACAACCAATCCAACAACGCGATACGGCACCCGCACCTGTTGGGAGGAAATAACACACTCAGATACTGAGCATCGTGTAGGAACCAAATGTGTTTGGATGGCTACATTAAAAAAAAAAGTTGCCATGACGACGGTCCTTAATGTGATTCACAGCAAAGTAATGTTAGTGAACAACAGCGTTCATAATTACATGCTTGCTGACCTGAATGGTCGTCTGTCCAGGTAGAGTGGGGGCCCCTAAATCGCTAACAGCTGTCAGGGGCCCCGCTTTGTTTCGAGAAGCTCTGATGAGCGAGAAGTGCTCGGCTGCAGACAGGATCTCCCTCTTAGCCATGGCCACATCTTCTTTGCGTCCCGTCACGACAAAGACAGGCTGCTCGCCCCTCACCGGCGTCTTAATGTAGGTGTTTGTCTTGGCTCGAAGCGCCTTGATCTTACAGCCTGAGCATGGGGGGGGGGGGGGGGGGGGGGTGTCGTGACGGGACGCAAAGAAGATGTGGCCATGGCTAAAAGGGAGATCCTGTCT